AAATAAAACAAAAGTATGAAAGTACCCTTTTTTATATGAAAGTATCCTCACCAATATATATAAATGATGCCTACCACATAATAGGTACTTAATACATATTTGTAAAATGCGTAAATGATTGAACAGCTATACCACATTGAAATTTCAATGAAGACTGAAAATATCTTTGTTTTATCTATACTTAAACAATGATTAAAGCTAGAAAAATTAGAAAATCAAGACTAGAGAAAGCCATTGATTTACATGAAGCATTTTGATAGTCGTGTGGTGAAACCCAACTGAATGGGCCTGTGGAAGTTCTTCTGGATGCTAACCATGATAACCTTTTAACCAGAAGGATGCTACATAACGGAAATAAATACCCAGACCATCTTATCTAAAGTTACACCCTCCCCTACAACAGTTTCTAACACCTTCCTTACTTTATTTTCATCCATAGCAATTACCACCATACAACATATGTATTTCCTTTTACTTATTTTACTCAGGTGTATATATGCTCTGTTGTCAGCTCTATGGGGTTGGGGATTTTGATATCTTTTTCTTCACTTCTGTATTCCCAATGCCTAGAACAGTGCCTGATGTGTAGTAAGCAATTGGTAAATATTTGATGAATGAATAAAGCTTAACCTTCCTTAGCAATAAGCAAAAATGACAGATTACACATAAGAATTATCACTTAGAATAATATAGGGTCTTCAGCTTCAGGTTAGCTAGGGTAGTTTCTTAAGACCCTGAGATACCATAGATCTAAGCTTAAGGGAGTTTTAATTCCACCAAAGATTAGACGGGAGGCATCAATTTCATTTTGTTCAAAAACCACAGAGACACAGTTGGGCAAGACATCTCTGTGTCCTCTTATCTATATTGTCACTTTCATCTCTGACAGGTCCTACTTTGAGTACCCAGGAGCCAATATAAGTGAATCTAAAAAGATGAAATATTTTGAGGCTGATAAAATACACACAGACAGGTAAGTTCAGAATACCAACATTTGCATTTTACTTTCAGAGTAAACAATTCCTTTAATTCAGCTGACATTTTTTTCAAAATAATCAAGTTATGTAGCAAAATTTAAATAAGGGTTTTTGTTCTCAGGAATTGTTTTATCAGATTCATATAAAATAGTTTAGGGATGCCCAAATGTGAAGGTAGAATCTGTTAAATAAATTTATATCAGAGATATACTCAACAATAACCTGGAAATCCTTTGATTTCCCAAACCAAACCAGGAGGTATGTTTTAAAACAGTGCAAGAATTTACTTGTACTGCATTTTGTCTGGGCATTTCTAAGCTTTTCTGACATTAGTGACATTCTTGTTTCTATAGAAACTAATGTACCTTAAATGGAAAAGTAAAGGAGAACTTAATGGCCAAAAGTAAACAAAATGAAAAAGCTGTGTGACAGAAGTTAAACATAAGAGAATTGAGCTCATCACAATTTTCCCTTAATTTAAATAACTTGATTGGAGAAAAATATCTTCAAGGAGTAACTCATGAATAGTTAGTTTGTCATATGTTAATGGTCATGAATTAGTTTTCCCTTGAGTTTTAAGCATCATATCATGCTGGAAGCTGGGGTAGGATCAGGTGAAATGGAAAAGATGACTCTTTAATTAAGCAGTGATAGGCATTTAATTGTGTTATTATCACTACTTAAAGGCAAATAAAGAATTTATTTAATATAAACTCAGAGAGTAAGTCCTGATGTTGTATTACAAGGTAATAGGTATTATCTGGTAAAATCTTACAAATTTGCAGCAGATTATTTAGCAGGATCAATGAGATGATTTAAATTATTCTTTCATGACAAAGAAACTTACTGTAAAAAGTAGTTACAAAAATATACATACATACTGAACAAACACACATGCTTATGAAAAAAGTGAGTAAAGAAAATATGCCCAGAGAAACTTTGCAGCTTTGGAATCTAACTACCAGTAGAGATTCTTATGGCATTTCAATTAGTTCAGGGGCATTTCAGTGCAATGCGGGTCTATGGGACAAGATTGATCAGGAGCAGACTGCAGATAGGCATGAGTGCAAAATAGTGTCACCCCTTAGCTGTGACTTGTCACAAATGGGCACTTCTTGCAATAGAATATCCTGGGCTGAATCTGCATTCCACAGTTTTCAGCAGGAGACTGCTCACTCGAGTGGGGCTGAGAGAATGACACTCTACAGTGTACAAAGACCCTGGGTTCATGTGAGCAGAGGGAATTGACCTAAAAGATCTTTGTTAAGTTTTTACCTGGAGGAAGGTAGGTATACACTGGGAAGTTAACACATATTTGCACAGTAAATTAACATCTACATCTTGGTTGACTGACTTAGTGAAAACAACAAACTCTCAAACCAATATAAACAGAGGAGACAAAGGAATGCAGTTATAAGGAAAGGGTAGGAGAAGAATTTATCTTATCAAGATAGTAGCCTTACAAAATTTTTACAAAAATACATTATAATCTAAAGGTAGTAGAGATAGACTAATTCAAATTAGTCAGGTTAGGCTAAACCATGCCATGGTAAGAAATGAACCCCAAATCTCAAGGGCTTAACACAGTAAAAGTTTGTTTTTCACTCACAGCAAGCTCTGTGCCAGTTGGCAGGGACTCACCTCCTCCCAGAGACTTGGGAATCCAGGCTCTTGCCACTTCATGATTCTCTTGTCTCCACAGGTGATGCCCAGGGTTGCTGGATAAGAGATGGATGAGGCACTCTGGTTTTTAAGTGCCTCACCGTGAATATGACATGTGTTATTTCTGCTTGCACAGCCATATTGCCTCAACACACCCTGAGGGGATCTGGGAAATGGAGAAGAGCACATGAATAGTCATCAAATATTAGCTGAATTAACCACAGACACTAAAGAAAATGACAGAAAATGGGTGAGTAAAGGAAAAGATAAATAAATGAATGGGACTATGGAGGAATGTGAAGAAATCTGGAGTAGGAAACCAAAACCCAGCCTTTCCTCCATGGCATTAATTGTGTGATGTAGGGTTGACTTCAGTCTTACTTTGTAAACAATGCTTCCCTCCCAACTTTGATTACAAAATAATGCATGTGGACATTTAGGAAAAAAATTTTTTAAATAATGTGAAGATCCTATGTATAATTTCACCTACCAGCCTCTCCCCCTGTACAATTATATCATGGTTATATAACTTTTCTTCTTTTTTTTTTTGATGATCCCCTCAAATATTCCCTCCTAGAAAAAATTCCTTATTCTCTCCACTGGGAACACACTGCTCCTCATTTTTATAGGGTACTTACTACCTGGTTGAACTCAAAGCCTGTCTGTTTCTCCTGCTGAACTTGAGCTCTTGGACACCTTTGTTTCCTCAGGGTCTGGCATGGATCTGGCAGAGAGCTGAATAAATGAATGCTGGTCTGTGGGACAAGACAGATCAGGAGCAGACTGCAGATAGGCATGAGTGCAAAATAGTGTCACCCCTTAGCTGTGACTTGTCACAAATGGGCACTCCTTGCAATAGTATATCCTGGGGCTGAATCCGCATTCCACAGTTTTCACCAGGAGACTGCTCACTCGAGTGGGGCTGAGAGAATGACAGGTATAAGTGAAGGAGTGAATGGATGGATCATTTACTTGCTCTTTATATACTATGATAGGATTAGATATTTTCATGCCCTTCTCCTCTGAATTCTGTAGTAAAACTTCTCATTCTTACTTCTTCAGAAGTCTTCAGGGTACCCAGACTGGTGGGAGGCTAGGATGTATGGAGGTCTAAGTTTGTAAATGCTCTGAACTACACAACATTGCTAGGTGTCTTGCCAATGGGTTTCAGCCCTGGGCAAGTTCACTATGGATTCAATGTGACCAAAGAAAATGACAGCAAAGTGTTCTTGGGGTGAAAGGGTTATACCCAATTTTATTTCCAGGTGGCAGGTCAGTCACTAAAATTCCATTCACTCAGAGCGAGTCTGCATGCAGCAAGCCGGTCTCTGCCTCTGGGCCCCTCTGTCTGCACAGCCATCCTCTGGGCCTCTCTGTGCGCTGCCACCACTCCAGCCTCTGCTCTGCTGCAGCCTTGCAGCCATGCCACCGTGTCATGCCCATAGCACTGGGTGGAGCTCTTTTTATAGAGTCAACAGCCATGTATTGCCCACAGGTGTGCAGTGAGCTAGTCAACCACAGCCAGGTGAGAATCCTGGCCACAGGAACTCTCATTTTATCCACACTAGGACATGCCAGGCAGGATGGAGCCTTTAAATATTGTTAATAACTTATTCACATGGAAATAGAGGGCCATCTGCTAAAGCAAGGAATAAGAGTGGAAACTGGAGGCTTTTCAGAGGGCAATAGGATAAGAAAAAGAGTAAACAGTGGGGTGGGAAGATCCAGAATGACTATGACTGACATAGGGCTCTGTAGAGATAATGGGACTATTCTGAATCCCAACAAATGAGAGACCTGTGGGCAATTTCGAAAGGCTGAGACAGGGTCCATGAAGTCTCCCAGAAGAAGGGTTTGTTCTGAAGCTAAGTGGACTGATGTATTGACCAGATAGACTATGCCCTTGTTTTTCCAAACAAAATAGAGCCTTGGATGAAAGACTGAAAACCTTTGCAAGAATGAAGACAGAATAGGGAACACAAAGGACTAGGGTTTGAGATTGGGCAGAGGGACAATTGGGAGAAGAAATCAGAGAGAGCAAGGGGCTGTTTCATGTTTGAGTGGAACCAAATGCTTTAAACCTGTGCCAAGCTAATTGAGTAATGTGAGGCTATGTGCTTCTAACTCACATAATCTCTGTGTCACCTGTACTTTGAGATTCTCTCGTCTTGTCATATAAACAGTTTGTACACCTAAACTGATTGTGTATTCTAGTTCAGTGGCTGCAGTGTGGAAAGGACATGACTGCAAGAGAAAATAGGGGAGAGTCCAGAATTCCAGGAAGTATTCTGTTTAAAGAAAACTGCCCTGATTTCTTCAGGTGATGTTAGGAGAAACATTCTAAAAAATGACAGAGGGAACCCAGAAGACCATGCTTTCTGCTTGAGGGTTGTTTCAGAGGAAGTCATCTCACCTGCTCTTCTTGTGAGATGCCCTCTGTTCTGTGGAAGTGGCCTGATCCTCATTTGGCTCCATAGACTTGGCTTTTCAGACCTGCTGAGGTGAGTCACTGGTGGTGCTTACATTATTCCAAAGCAGGAGGGAGAAAGATTGTGCTAGTCCCTGCTACCACCATGAAACTTTGGATGGTCTCTACTTAGAACTTCTTGAGTGCTATCAAAAAAAAGCAGCCAACTGGAATGTCCTTCCAAAGGAATTCCAATATTCATCAAGAATCTGGACAAGATGAGAAATTAAGCAAACTTATTGTCAGTTCAAATTTAGTAAGGCTGGTTGAAGACCCCATGGAAGTGGGGAATGGGAGTGGGTAGGGGAATTTCTGCCAGTGGGAACAAACAAGTAATTGAAGGCAGAAAGTTCATGATCAGAAACCCCAAAAGTTTAGAAATCAAACACTCTAAATTTATATTGTAGCATTGTAGAGAATCAGTCCTTATAAACTTGAGACAATTACAATAATACTATTAATAGTGAGCTGACATTGACGTTACAGCATATCTAACCCAGTAACTGAGAAAACTGAGGGTTAAGAAAGCGGTCACACCATTATTAAAAAGGTGGCATAGCATGTTAATGTATGCAAATGACCCATCAGTATGCTGCTCTAGGACTCCTGCTCTTTATAAAATTGAGGATGCCTTTCAATTGAAAGACAGCCCCCTAATGAAAACAAATAATCCCACTCCCAAACTAACAAAAATGAATAAAACCCACCAAATGCAAATAGCAACCACTCAAAGTGTATCATCACAAAACAAAACAAAGAAACTTCTTGAGCCTTAGGTTTAATTTTAGAAAAGAGGTATTATGACATAGACATTGGCAAAAATACATGAGAGGGAGAGAATGTGCCTCTCTAGATAGGAACCCATCTGAGTCTTAGCACTTGACTACACCCAAATATTAACATTATTTTACTTTCTAGCATCCCCTGAGCCAGGGACACAATCTTAGGTAGAACCTAAAATGGAGCCTAAAGAAGGAGTGAGGGAACCTCCTGATTCCTTCCCTTTTGGTGACTTCAATATGTGCCAGGTCTTTGATTAATTATCCTCCTTAATCTTCACAACAGCCTGTGAGGTACTTCATCTGTCTTACAGATGAAGTTGCTGAGGTTCAGAACACTAAGTAACTGTCAATTCACTTAACTAGTGAATGCACAAGCTGAGATCTGAACCTAGATCGTGTTCTTTCCACTATGTGACTCTCCTAGTCTTAGCTTTGCTCACAGCTACTCAGTCTAGGACACAGTCTAGGAGTCTGGGATTCAGCTTGGCTGTTTAAGTCCTCAAGTTGCCCACATGGGTGAAAACTTAAGGCCCAGTTGTAAGAATCATTGTCTCCATTTGGTGGCTTTTTTCTCCTGCAAGGCCTTCCTGTTACTCACTATGGATTTCCCAGTGTTGTGATAGATCTTCCCATAGAAATGACCTTGTTTATTTGAAAAATAGCATCTGGTCTGGTGTGATTGGTTCAGAGGCTTTAGCCACCAGTTCAACAGCCCAAGCTCTTTTTGCATCAGACTTACCAGCCACCCAGTGGTTCTCCTGCAGGCCTCCTCTTAGGCACTGACTCTGTCCCTAACAAGCACCATCTGAGCAGCAGGGTACAGATGAAGAAGAGAGCACACCAGGGGTAAGAGAGGTCAAGCTTGCTACCAGAGAACCTCCCCACTGAGTAGGCTGTCCTTCCTCCTGGCCAACTTCAAAGAGACAGTACATGCGGTGGTTAAGGTCTCAGGGATTCAAGTCACTTGTATGTTCTGATCACCACCTACTTGCTTTGTTGGTGAAGGAGGGATCCTCTGTTCAAAGTAGTACAAGATGGCTGAACACATGACAGCCAACACTGATGGATAAAATTAACAGCAGTTCACTAGTCATATATACTCACAACCTGAGGGCAGAGGACACTGCATGCCACACATGGGAATTGCACTTGGGAACAGAGTGAATCAGAAGGGGCTGTGGGAGGCAGGCTTTGTAATAAGAGGGTGCAGTGCTCCTTAATTCCCATGAGAGGATTGATTGGCTTGTTTGAATGATTTTGTAAGCTGGCAGGGTGATAAAACCAGTAGGTTGAGGACCAGAAAGGGTGCAGCTGATCCAGCTAATAGGGAAACCAACCAGGGAGGAAGCCTTTCCTACTGGATCAGGGGATAGGGCATATCTGGTGAGTGCAGTGGGTATCATGTTTAGGCCTTTGAGACCATGAGAGGCTCAAAGATATTAAAGCAGCTCTTGAAATTTTAGGCCCTACAATGCGAGGTCTCACATTTGTGCTCCACCATGTTCTGGTCATTTGGCCTTAGGCCAGTTATCCTGCAACTTGTTCTCCCCTGAAAAATACTGTGGAGTACTTATCTCCCTAGGACTACTATGAGAGTAAATGCTAAGTGCTTAGCACAGTGCCTGGCACATAAGAAGTACAGAGTAGATGTCAGTTATTGTCATCATCACTGGAGATAGGAACAGTAATGGATGGTTTCCTGCCAGTGTTCATGGGTGAACATGTAGCTGAGCAAGGTCTTGCTTTTAGTTGTGTCATTTAGTCACCTTATCAGTCACATGGTAAATGAAGACATTACTGTGTTCACATTGCTGCCTTGACTTGACTTGGGAGCAAATACTTCGCAGCATTATGAGGCAGATGTGGAAGGGGTCAGTAAATGGCTTAAAAGGTTGAGGGGGAGAAATAATAACCAAGGCCTTCTATAAAGCTCAAGACTTAGACTGTTTATAAATTCTTTCCTTTTACTGCCTGAAATTTTTTATTTTGGTCAGAAATGAAAGTGAAGGGATTAAAGTAATCAGAAGAGCGATTTGTAATTGGTCTCCAGACTGTACTCCTCTTTCCATTTGTCAAGAGCAAGCTGATGAATAAAACTGCATGGAAGGACTTTATTAGCAGTAGCTTTCCTCCTGCAGCTGGGATTAGAGGAATACTTTAACCTTGACACATTCATTTTATGATCACAAAGCCCTTCGCCTTTCAGTCTATTTTCCCCTTTTCATATAGCCCTGATCCTGGCAGAAGCTTTTAAAATTACCAGAGAATGGTTCTATATTTCTCTCTTTCTCTGTCCCCCTCTCCTCCTCCTATTCCACAAATGCACCCAACAATCTTTGTTAAGACAAAGAAAACCAAACCCTCAAGGATATATGTGTGACAATATTTTTTACATGTATTCTAGAAGGCTGCCAATAGGGACAAAAAGTATTGCCCTCAATGAAGAGCCAGTGCATATAGTATTGATTTCCAAAAAGAAATTTATTGAAATTAACAGTTTTCCAGGGAAACACAAAACATGTATGAAAAATGCATTTAGCTGTCAGCTCATATGCAAGGAACAAAGGAAATCAGGAAATTGTATGTCAGAAAAATATGCATGAGACATCTCATCCAAATGGTGATTATGAAAAGGATGTACAGATATATATCTTGTTTTAAAAATCCATTTACAGTTGGTGTGTGGTGGTTGCCACTGAAGTGTATAAATTTCTGAGGTTCAAATATACAGTTGACATGTGTGTTTCTTAATAGATCTTTAGTCAGAGTTAAATGTGAATTGAAAAACACTTGACTAGTATCCTAAAGATACAGCTATCTTTGTTGTTTGACAGGTGGAGAAATCTATCCACTGGGCACAGATTTATTATGATTATGGAGTTTTACTTTACTTTTTTCTTTATCCAGCAACATTTTTGACTTGTTTTGAGGCATATGTCTCATTAATTATAGTATTTAGTTCTCAGCGTGTAATTGGTCTCTGGTGCTAACTCACAGAGCTCTTAGTGTCACTGTTTCAAGGGGGCCTGATGAATTCGCCCGAGGTAAACTAAAGTGGAAAGTACCGACTTCTCAAATAACTTAAGACGTTTCTTGTAGCTTCCAAAAGTTAAGATTGTTCCAGCACAGGGGGTGGGAGTTGTTAAAGGTAGGTGGTACATCTGATTAATCTTCAATCAGAGGTGTAGAGATAGGGGCTCTATATTACTGGCAGGACTGTATGCCAAAATGTAATCAAATAGGAAACTGGGTGCCAATGGTAATTTTTTGAAATGTGCTTTTATGACATCCTCCACAAAGATGAAAGCCGTGTTCCCTAAAACAAACAAATAACACCGGACTTGGGCTAAAGCTCTGATAGGAAATTTATTTACGTTTCACCAAACCCGACTTGAAAGTAATTGTACATGATTTGAAACTTTTAATTGTTCTTGTTGTTTCTCTCTGCAAATAAGGAAATCCTGGCTTTCTGTAAAAAAACCTCTAGATCCTGGCTATTGGTTTTTTTCAAGGTTCTGCCACACTAATTGCTTTTTGTTTGATTCTGTGCCCTTCTGAAATTGAAGGTTGCCTCGAGGCAGGAGCCAAGCTGCTGTGGTGACTTGTGGGTTTGGGGACTGGGATAACCCACAACTGTGGTTACAAGTCAGTCTCATTATCCCATGATTAGATGTGGCAAACCAGGGGAGCCATTTTACTGCTTCAGATCTGAGCCTATGACTAGAAGGGTTAGAATCTCAAAGCTTTCTCTTTGCATTATTTGTCATTTCTGACTGATAACAGCACCACTTTCTTTTGGGAACCAAACACTGGTCATTACGGTTTTGTCTTACTGTGGTATTTGGTGTTGCATTTCACTGTTATTCAACCGCAGATTTACAAACTGGGAATATATTAAGGGATATGTGTCTTGCAGGAAATAGACATTTCACTCCTTTTCAGAGATAATATGACTTTATTACTTCTACACCAACATATTGCTAATATTGCTATATGATTGCTTCCTTTAAGTTTTTCTAAACTGTGGTGGTGAAAGTTACGGTGATTTTATTGGTGTCTGAGAACATGTATGTGTTAGATGAGGTCAAAAACAATTTCATCAGTTCTGTGACTCAGCAGTTTTGTAAATGGGATTTCAAAATCATAAATTCAAAGTATTAATAAATAAATTGCTTAGTTATCCAGACAGATCTACTCGGTGGGGTATGTAGGCATCCTTGCTGAATGAAAAGTTTTCAGAAAGTGGTAGTTA